AAATTTCCTTCTAAATTTAAACCCTTCAATGTCTAAAATTTGTGAAAAATTTGGCATGATCAAAAAAAAATTGTCACCAGTTGTACATTAATCATTTACTTTCAGTGAGAAAGCCTTTCTGTATTTGTGCCAAAAACCCCAGAGCCTTTAGATGTGTGAGTTTGTTTTTTGGTGGTAAAAAATTTTCTCGTATAAATTTTAATTTGTAAATATTTTTACACTCTTCTCCCCTTTCCAAAAACCTCTTTTGAAATCCTGCTCCTATAATTCTTTCATAATAACCTACCTTTACTTTCTCAGATATAAACAGGTTATTCCCTACAAGTAATGGGATGCACTACTAATTTCTGAATAGAAAATGGGTTGCCTTCTCCTATTTATAATTTAGTTTTTTCATCGACAGCATAGGGGACATATGTCACTTCCCTTTGGGAGAAATGTGGCAGACAATATGGTCCCTTTTCCCAGGGGGTGAGAACATTATAAAATCCCCCAGCTTGGATCCCCAAAAATGCTTTGGCATAAAATTTCGTATGCATAAAGTGGGACATTGGACACTTTTGTATAAGGGTGTATTTTGGGGGGGGTTTTCTTTCAACAGGTGTTTAGACATGCATTTAAAAGTTACAGTGTGTGGGGCTGACCATTTTTTTGGGAAAACACCCATTGGCCTTAGGGGTTGTTCACCCCTCAGGCATGTCAGTGTTCAGCTAGTTGGACTTCTACAAAGGCCAGTGGGTGTGGTAAGCTATGGTTTAATGCAGGACATTAGGTGGCTTTTGGGGGTTCCATCTTGGTATTTAATTTTGTAGGAATATGCCAAAAACCATTCTTGCAGCCTTGGACATTATCTTCAGCAAATTCAAATAAAGGGGTTTTTCTGTTTTTTTTTTGGCTCTATTTACCATCAGACATGGAGAATAGAGCCCCAATACCACAGAATGGGAGTCGAGTGATAAGAAAGTTTCTGGTTTTCTAGACCCAAATATTCAGGTGCCTGAAAAAGAACTGAACCTTACCCCCAATGGTGAGTACGCCCCAAAAAACTGTTATTTATTGATGTACAGTGTTCGTGATGTCTTGCCATCCCGCTCCAGGGCACATTCCAAGCCCAGAAATTCCCCTCCCCTTAACCGATATAGGTGGGAATCCCTTGCGTAGTTATTCGTTAAAAATTCCCCTGTAATCTTTAGTGTTTTCCCTCCGCCAAATACACCCCGAGGAGTAATGTTACTGTAGTATTGGATGCCAAATGACTTGAGGCAACCCTGCTCCCCCTAAATCGGAAAATATCGTGGTGGTTTCTACTGCCCTTTTCCTTGTTATGCTTCCTTTCCCTACCACACTGAATGCTGTTTTAATGTAAGTGTCTGCCTTCCATTCTCAAACCTTCGAGGGTCTAGGTGCCCCAGTACAGCATTCCTAGCTTTTGTGGTACAGTTGTTAATTTTTTCTCATGGGTGTTTTTAAACCTTGCAATGACTGGTGCCATTTCCCCTTTTTTTTTTGAAAAAGGCCACCTACCACCGGTGCCCACTTCAGGCCCCTTTTGTTTTTCGTCACTTTTGGGGGATTTACATGCAGAATATTTTTTTAACCAGTTTTCCCCCTTTTTCTTTCCCCATTTTATGGGGTTTTTTGCCTTAAAACAGGATAGTTAGGGGTCCATTTAAAATTTTTTTGCCAAAATATATTCGATATGCAAAAATCATTAAAATTAAGGCTTCTAAATTTTTAAAACAGATGTACTCTTTAGCCAAAAGTTCCACTTCAGCACACTCCCGTGTTAGCATGAAAAGCTTTCCCACATATTCCCGGGGATACCTCTCATACCCCAACTAATGGGCCCAAAACCGGGTTTGGAAAAAATTTTCGAAAAAAACATTGGGGGAAAAAAATGGGGAAAAACCGTACTGTCATTCACCCTCTATACCCCTTATTTTTCCCTCGGCGAAGGCTTTTTTTTGTTTTTAAAAAATGAGTTTCCCAAAATCGTCGGGGTAGGAAACAAACCTCTGGGCCCCAAAAAAACAGCCTCCCAGATTTCACAGACCACAGGACCATAACTTTTCAAATGGGCTGTGGACAATGGATACTCCAAAAGTGTTTCGACACCTGCCCCTGCTGCTGAAATTTTTGGTCTTGGAGGCACTGGGTTGTTGTCATCTCTGCATCTGTTTGAGATTGCAGCCATTTTAACCCTTTCAGGGTTGAGAGACCCTCTCCTAAACTAGTTCTCAGGGTTGAAAATTTTTCAGAAAAAAAAAAAATTACTTTTTCTTATGAAAAGATAGAGTCCTTTCCCATGTATTACATTTTTTTTTTTTTTTTTTTTTTTCAACAAGTCGGCCGTCTCCCACCGAGGCAGGGTGACCCAAAAAAGAAAGAAAATCCCCAAAAAGAAAATACTTTCATCATCATTCAACACTTTCACCACACTCGCACATTATCACTGTTTTTGCAGAGGTGCTCAGAATACAACAGTTTAGAAGCATAAACATATAAAGATACACAACATATCCTCCAAACTGCCAATATCCCAAACCCCTCCTTTAAATTTGCAGGCATTGTACTTCCCATTTCCGGACTCAAGTCCGACTATATGAAAATAACCGGTTTCCTGAATCCCTTCACTAAATATTACCCTGCTCACACTCCAACAGATCGTCAGGTCCCAAGTACCATTCGTCTCCATTCACTCCTATCTAACACGCTCACGCACGCTTGCTGGAAGTCCAAGCCCCTTACCCACAAAACCTCCTTTACCCCCTCTCTCCAACCCTTTCGAGGACGACCCCTACCCCGCCTTCCTTCCCCTATAGATTTATATGCTTTCCATGTCATTCTACTGTTTATTTAATGTCATGTATTTTAATGTTATATATTTCCCAAACATTAGGTAGTAGGTTGGTAGACAGCAACCATCCAGGGGGGTACTACCGTCTTGCCAAGTGAGTGTGAAACAAAAGCCTGTAATTGTTTTACATGATGGTAGGATTGCTGGTGTCTTTTGTCTGTCTCATGAATATGCAAGATTACAGGTACACCTTGCTACTTCTACTTACACTTAGGTCACACTACACACACATATACAGGCATATATATACACACACCCCTCTGGGTTTTCTGCTATTTTCTTTCTAGTTCTTGTTCTTGTTTATTTCCTCTTATCTCCATGGGGAAGTGGAACAGAATTCTTCCTCCGTGAGCCATGCGTGTTGTAAGAGGCAACTGAAATGCCGGGGGCAAGGGGCTAGTAAAAGGAGAAACTTTTGTTTTTCCTTTTGGGCCACCCTGCCTCGGTGGGATACGGCCGGTGTGTTGAAAGAAAGAAAATTTCCCAAACAAACTACCTGTAATTAATATCATTTACATATACGTACTTTATTTTAGTGGAAGTTTGTTACTGAATATTAACCTAAATTATTATGCTCATACAAAGGGCTTCTCTAACTTGCATATATTTATACGTTTTGTTACATTTACTATTGACGTTTAACAGTCCAGTGGGTAATTTTAAAGAACTAAATGATTATTTTTTCATGAATATTTATAATGATACAAATAAACATTAAAATTTATTATTATTGTACATATTGTTAATAGTTTTACAGTTAACACAGCTCAGTTTACATTGTGCTTAATTGAAATTTTGTATAGTTTAAATATTGGTTTTTAAAAAACCTGATGTGGAAGTAACTTAAGATGAGGAATGCACTTTAGGCTCTAGAATCCTGTTGTGCTGTATATGCCATGTACCCTTTTAATATATTTATGTGGATTAAAGTGTTTTGAATTTTGAGATTTAGTCATGGTAAATCGTCTTCACCTAGGACACCTTGGCAGCATGGGAAGCTCTCTATGAGTTCTCACAGCGTGAGGGACGGGCACGCGACACCCAACTGACAGTAACTGTTGAGCCTCTTCATGATCACATGCAGGCCAGAACTTTTTATATCACCCCAGACAACTTCCTTCACCTCCAGTCACACCAGGTCAGATTAAATTTTGTCTAAGTTGGAGGAATTCCTAAGGACATTGTGCAGTTGGGATGTGGTGTCCTGTTTAAGTTTCCTGAGAATTCTGAATATTTGACCTTTGTGTGTATTTGTCTTACTCTTACGTTCGAGTGAGTCTTTTGTACTTTGTTGCAATTTCTTGTTCAATACCTTCTCTTCTTAGTTTAACTCTCTTGACTTGGGGTCATTATCCTAATATGTGTGTGTGTGTGTGTGTGTATTTCTACTCTATACTGAATCCTGTTTATCTTACTTAAACAATTTTTTCTTTTCAGAGTGCCTTTGCAATCATTTTCTGACTCATTTTTTCCCACTTGCAAATTGTGTGTTTTTCAGAATGTTTTCTACTTTCCTAGCATTTTTACAGTTAGCATTGCTGCAAGACAAATATTTCTAAGCGTTACGTTGGTTTAAGGTCCTTCCCACTATATGTTATGGTTTAAGATAACCTACAAATTCCGAAAGTGGTCAAAGGGGGAAATAGGTTCAAATTTTTTGGGGAAAATCAGTCTGCCCCTGAAACTTATCCCTTTCGTTTGAAAATCTTCAGTTTCCCAAAGTTTTGGGGGTCAATCCCCCAGGGGCCAGTTTAGCCCGGGCCCTTGGGGTGGATCGGGTGTGATCGCAGGGGGTTACTGCGGGCCCACACACCCGATTATAAAGCCAGCCCAGCTGGTCAGGTACTGACTTAGGTCCCTATCCAAACTCTTGAAGACAGCCGGGTCTATTGGCAATCCCCTTGTGTTGCTGGAAGAGTTGAACAGTTTGGTCCCATGACCTTACTGTGTTGTTACTGCTTTTCATTGGGGGAATGTTCATTCCCCCAAGTCTTTTTACTTTCTAGGAGCAAATTTTTGTGTAAGTTTGGTACAATTAATTGGAAGTTATAAAAAGTTTTCACAGAATAAATGACCCAGGAAAAATTAAAAAAAATGTTCACTGTCATCCTTGATAATATTGCACCAGTTAAAGAGGTTAGGATTAAATGGAGAACTGAACAGACAGGATATTGCAGCGATAAATGAATTCTAAAGGGTGAGGAACAGAGTGCAGAAGCTTGTAAAGGGAGTAAAGGCAAGGTACTATTGCTCAAAAAATCAAAGAGTACAAGAATAACCCTAGAAAGCTCTGGCAACAACAAACATTTGGGGTATAGCCATGAACCAGTAGATTCTCTTCGCTGACGACATGACTTGTGTCATCTCCCACCCAAATCTTGCCACACTCAACACCATTGTTAATGAGGAGCTACTAAAAATATCTACATGGGTGACAGCCAATAAACTTACACTCAACATTGACATAACCTTCTATATCATGTTTGGTAACAAAGCAGGTGTTGCACAACTGAACATTAAGATCGACAACATTCTTATTGTCAAATATAATGAGGGCAATTCCTGAGCCTACACCTCGACAGCACCCATATCCAACACGGTTGGGATCCTCTCCAAGATACACTACTACATGCCACAATCAGCCCTTCTCACACTGTACTATCCCTACCTCACCTATGCTATTTGTGCTTGGGGATCAACAGCAGCAACACACCTAAAACCAATAACAACCCAACAGAAAGCAATCCAATACTAGGCAACACCCCCCCCCCACTCTTCAAAGATCTAAACTTAATGTACAGAACATCCACATGTACTACTGTGCAACCTACATTTACAAAACCATAAATTCTAATATTAACCCTGAACTAAAACTCTTTCTTGATAGTTGTGACAGGACCCACAGGCACAACACCAGGCACAAAAATCTCTATGACATTCCCTGTGTCCGGTTAAACCTATACAAAAATTCATGTACAATAAAATGCCTAAAATCTGGAACTTTGTGCCTGAAAACTCTAGAACTGCAGACACAACTATTACTTTCAAAACTGCCGTTAAAACATATCTTTTCTCCCTGGCACACCCCACTGTCAGCTAGGTACATGAAAACCACCTATTCTCTTACTTGTATCATGCACACATAAAAACAAACTAGACCTACTCTCAGTATATATAATCCCCCCCCAATTTACACTTACACCCACCCATATGACTGTAAACATAAAATATTGAATAAAGCTGTTGCCTAACAAATCTTTAACTAGTCATAAGTTTGCCTGAGATACTCCAATATAGGAGCTTTAATAGAAACTGTATCATGCCAAGACGAAACCATTCTCATTGTTCAATTTACAAACTAAAATGCAGTTACCTAGCTTTAATATCAGTATGCCCCATAACCTGTTTCAATATAGAGTTAGAATTATTAGTCTGCCTGAAATGCTTAGTCATGCTAGACATGATAGTGGCCCTCTTTGTAATTAGTATTTTATAACATATAAACCACACATTGTAACCAGTATTTTATAATATGTGAACCCCACATTGATAAATTAGACATGTGCAACTCTTGGGTATCAATAAAGATTCCCAAGAGTTGCACGTATGTCTAATTTATCAACTTGTTGGTTCTCTGAACCATTCATCTACAACCCCACATTGTACTCTTTACAGAGAAATAAACATTTGCATTTGCATTTGTAGATAGATCTAACATAGTACTAAATATTGATAACGAAGTATACCACAAAACAACTAACGTGGCAAATTGTTTTAATTCATACTACACAACTGTCGCATCAGCAATAGTAAGTAAACTACCGGCTGCATCAAATACCTTTAACACAGACTCTGATAAGTTTAAAGCATACTGTACCAATAAAGGGATAACTCCAAATACTAGTTGTCAACTAGTAAGTGTATCTCATGACTTTGTGCAAAAAGAACTAAGCAGGTTAAACCCAACTAAGAGCACCAGCCCAGATAACATCCCGTCTAAGTTCCTAGAAGATAGTGCCTCTGAATTGCCAATCCCCATTGCTCACATAATAAATTTGTCCATCTCCACTAATACCATACCAGAGGGGTTAAAGGAGGCCAGAGTTAATCCTGTCTTCAAGAAAAATAGTAGGTCTGATGTCAGCAACTATAGAGCTGTTAGTATATTCAGTGTAATATCCATAATTCTAGAGAGGGCAGTGTACTGTCAAGTAGTTAAGTATCTAAATGATGACAACATTCTTCATAGTTATCAGTCAGGTTGTAGGAGATCTTACTCAACTGACACCTCCCTATTTAATCTGATGGATTATACGAGAACTGAAATGTCGATAGGGAACCTCATAGGAATGGTAACCTTAGACTTGCAAAAGGCCTTCAATACTGTCAACCACAATACGTATATTATGTAAGAAACCTCAAACTATTTGCATAGGTTCCATAGACTGTTGAAGTCCTATCTTAGAAATAGGAAACAAATTGTCAAAATCAACAAAACTGAATCAGAACCCCTGCCGATAGCACGTGGAGTTCCCCAAGGTAGTACAGTGGAACCTCTGCTTACAAATTTAATCCATTCCGTGACCTTGTTCGTATCCTGAGTTGTTTGTATGCTGAGTCAATTTTCCTCATTGAAATATATTGAAATGCAATTAATCCGTTCCAGCCTCTCAGGAGGCATGACAAAATAATGCTAATATCAGCTTTATAGCTTAGTTATCTATCAAAATTCATCTCATATGACATAATAAACAATATTAATAACATAGAACCATGATATATACTCTAGAATGAATAAAATAGGCTATAATATGGCAAGTGATGGCAGAAAGCATCCGCCATTTACTTTCCCACTCTAGTATCTTCCCAGTCCATAACCCCACACCTAGCTTGTGTTTTTCTATGATTAATGGTGAGATTGTCACATATGTAACCACAGGTATGGTCAAGACAGATGTATATATAGGTGAAGACATGATCACTGTGGCCATAGGGGTGGTGGCGGCCAGCTGCCCCGCTTTATACTGCTGCCTTCTTCGTTTCTCTAGTATTTTTCATAGTTTCTAACCGCCTCTTGCTGATTGTATGCAAATAATGTCTCTTTGGGTGAGGCATTGTGTAAGAAATTTGTACAATAAGACAAAATTACACATCCCAAGGGTTTGCTGTGATCACTCAGAGCAGCATACCTCCTCTTCCTTTTGACTCTTGGTTGGCACTGAGATAGCCGTGGTCGTAGCAGCTGTACCTACAGCCACCCAGAGGGTTACCAATTTCTATTTTGAAGCATTTGGCACAAAAATATGAAAAAAATACAAAAAAATGTCTAAAAATGACAACACATTATTATTATTATTATTAACCCATAAATGGTCCAGACGTATATATACCTTTTTTCAACATTTGATAGTATGTAAAAAAAGTAGATTTTTTTTTTTTACATTTGAAAACGTGTAAAAACTTTGATCTACGTTTTTTTTTGTTATATTTGAAAATATGTAAAAAAAACGTAGATCTACTTTTGGAGCACTACACGTGTGAACATAGATCTGCTTGGACTGTTTACGGGTTAATAGTATGTATGTATAATTATAAGTATTATTACATACTGTTACGTTGGTTTCCCTTATTACTTTGATGGTAAGGTTCTCACTACATGTTCTAGTGTGGGATAGCTTTTACTTAATGGCCTTATTTGTCTAGGGGTAATACTTACATCATGGCTGATCATCTTGAGTGTCTCTGATACCCTTTCACCAGCCCTCTTCACAGGTTATGTAAACTACTACTATAAAAATATAGCTGTATTCTCAATAGATATGTACAGAATATACAATCACAGCCTCCATTTTCAAAACAAAATCTACACACTCCATGCCTGTGCTCCACATGGTGTGTTGCAACAACTCTTGTCCTTCACTCTTCCTGACATAACTCTGGGCTAACCAGTGTTTTGACACACTTTAGTCACCCTGGGTATGGTGGCTACAACTTAAATTATAAACACTCACCCCCTGGAGCACACATGATGCCCCAAAAGATAGAAGAAGGACCCAGAGATCCTGCCAGGTTGAAGGTCAGCCACAGAGAGAGAGAGTCAGAGAGGGAGAGAGAGAGAAGCCTAGCTAAGCTCCTCCCACCAAAACAAAAGACTGTTGTCAAGCACAATTCTCCAGTTACCACAATTCTACCACCTCTTAACTTTACTTTTACAAAAAGAAATACAACTTTATAAACTACTTATTTAAATTGTGTGTTTATGTGTCTATAGTATAACCTATTATATTGAGGAAAATAGGTTTGACCCAGCTGCCTCTCAGTCATAAGGTTGATCAGTCCTTCTGACATTTAGAGCAAAGTCCCCATCAATTCAATATAATTAGGTATTATTATAGTAACTGTTACTTATAAATACATGTTGAGTCCTATAGCCCCATAACACATACATATTGTTATTATTATTAATTTAGGGAACTGGAGCACAGATCCAATTCCATAGATCAAGAGCCCATCACCACGTACATACTAATAATAATAATTATAATAATAATAATAATAACAACAGTAAGGAGAAACTTCAAAAGGCTGCCAGTAGTTGGCACCACCATCAGCAGACCATTGGTAACCACTAGTAGCACACTTTCCACCTGTCTAGATTTAAGTAGTCTATTAGTATTAGGTTAAGTCTGCCCGAAATGCCTCAGTGTGATAGTGGCTTTCTTTGCTCAAATTACAGTGGACCCCCGGTATTCGATATTAATCCGTTCCTGAGAGCTCATCGAAAACCGAATCAATTTTCCTCATAAGAAATAATGGAAATCAAATTAATCCATGCAAGACACCCAAAAGTATGAAAAAAAAAATTTTACTACATGAAATATTAAGTTTAATGCAATAGAATAATTACAATAACAATAAAATAATTGACACTTACCTTTAATGAAGATCTGGTGATGATTGATAGGATGGGAGGAGGGGAGAGGTATTAGTGTTTAGAAGGGAATCCCCTTCCATTAGGACTTGAGGTAGCAAGTCCTTTTCTGGGGTTACTTCCCTTCTTTTAATACCACTAGGACCAGCTTGAGAGTCACTGGACCTCTGTCGCACAACAAATCTGTCCATAGAGCCCTGTACCTCCCGTTCCTTTACGATTTGTCTAAAATGGGCCACAACATTGTCATTGTAATAGTCACAAGATTTGCAGTTCAACCCACTGTGCACACATTTCCTTAATTTTTGAAGTAGGCACAATGGATTCCTCAACTGGCATAGGCTTCTCAGGGTTAGCCCCAAACCCTTCAAAATCTTTCTTAATTTCCATACTAATTCTCACCCTTTTTACCACAGGGATGGCACTAGAAGCTTTCTTGGGGCCCATGGTGACTTATTTTGCAGAAACAAGTACCAAACACAGTGATAATATGGATAATATGAATGTACCGAATGTATCCTTAGATGCGCGCACACTGGCTGGCTTGTAAACATTGGCACACACGGGGCAGTTCAGGCCACACGTGGACAGGTCTCGTACAAATTGTATCGAATGCCGGGTTTTCAATCGATTACCGAGGAAAATTTTTGGCGATATAATGCATCGAATACCGATGCCATCGAATACCGGGGGTCCACTGTATATTATGTAAACACACATTGTAACCTTTGCAAAGAAATAAATATTTTATTTTATTTATTTATTTATTTATTTAAGGAATCTCCCTTGAGGGGGAAGTTTGCATCCTGAAATTTCCTTCATATACAGAAGCAAAAAATCAACCAAATAGCGGTTCGTATCCTGAAAAATTTGCATGGTGGGGCATTCGTAAGCCGAGGTTCCACTACGTATTGTGGGTCCCTTATTATTTCTGTGTTATGTAAATGACATGCCCATCAGTGTCAAGTGCAAACACTAACTCTGTTAGTGTCAGGTAAAGGCCCACAAGATATAGCTAATGTAATAACACTGGAACTGGAGTCCTGCAGAAAGGGTTAGTAGACAAACTATCATTACACCTTGGGAAAATGGAAGCCATACTCTTTGGCATGAAGCATAAACTGAGAAGGGTAAATAATTTTAATGTCCAGTGTAATGGGGAACCAATCACTTCAGTTTCCTCAGTAAAATATCAGGAAATCCCCTTTGACCCATGCATGTCAGGAAAATTGATAGGGAACAGTGTAGTAAAGAAAGTGACTGCCAAACTGTAGTCCCTCTGCAGACAAGCACAGTGTCTACCTACTGAGGCTCACAGGACCTTATGTCTAGCCCTTATACATTGTCATATGGACTATGCTTGCTCTGCTTGGTACTCTGCCCTGACAAAAAACTGAAAGATAGACTTCAAATCACCCAGAACAAAATGGTAAGATTCATCCTGTACCTGGGTCCAAGAGAACATGTAGGCCAGGATGAATTACAACTGGATATGCTGAATGTTGAAGACAGAGTAAAACAACTGAAGTTAAATCAAGTTTATAAAATTGCTCACAGTGTCCAGAATATCTTGCTGCCAATTTTGTCAAGGTTGGGAACCAAAGCAATCATAGTACTAGGGGAAGAGTGCACAACTTTGTAATACCCACAGTCAGTGGCCAGGCTTCAAACACCTTTTATTGTACAGCAATAAAAGCATGGAACAGACTGCCTGCACATGTCAAAGCCAGTTATAGCAAGAACCAGTTCAAGAAGAGGGCCAAAAGGTGCCTAATGAATGTAGCCACAGAAAGGGAGGAGAATTATTTTTTTTTTTAAGCTAACAAACATGTAAATATAAGTAACTCATTTTATCTTATTTCTAGTATATCTCCTTTATAGTATAATAATAAGGTATTAAAAGGACCCCAATGGAAATAAGTCACTCTGTCTAATTTTTTGGGGTTATCCTAGGTTCTCTACACACATGCTGCTATGTATAATAATCTATAACTGTATTTGTGTATACCTGAATAAACTTACTCTAGGATCTTTCTTGCCTGCATTCCAGGGAATACAAATCAAGGGACTTCAACTGTTCCCAGTAATTTAGGTGCTTTATTGTACTTGTGTGTACCATGAAAGTTCTCTGCACACTCCAGGTCAGCAATTTTACCTGCCTTGAAGGGGGCAGTTAGTATACAGCAGTATTCCATTATTATTATTATTATCATCAAAAAGAAGCGCTAAACCACAAGGGCTAGCAGTATTCCGTCCTGGAGAAAACAAGCGACTTGAAGAGAATCCTCATGGGCTTGGCATCCCTAGTTTTGAAGGTTCTCATTATCCATCCTATCATTTTTCTAGCAGATGAGTTCTTATTCTTTTTGATTATAATAATAATAATAATAATAATCTTGCAGATGAGGTAGATACATTGTTGTAGGCTTTGAAGGTGAGATCCTCTGACATTATCACTCCTAGGTCCTTCACGTTAGTTTTTCACTCTATTGTGTGGTTAGAATTTGTTGTATACCCTGATAGTTTTAATTTCCTCAAGTTTTCAAATAGGTTAGAGTTAAACCACTTGTATACAAAAATAACTTTATATTCTGTGGATAAGTATTTACAGAATGTACATATGATAATTAGTCTGGCCCAGCCCTCACATTAGCAACAAAGAATGCACAATCTCCTAGTATGGGGTCATGGGAGCCATCACACAATATTTTAGTCTGGGTCCCAGTCACATGGTAACCCATTTTGAGAACAATTTCTCCATATTTTCTTCTTTACCTTAACCAGGGTTTTGATACACAGTAGCGATCCTGGGACACGCCTGTCTCGACAACAAAACCCTCACATAAGTCTTACCGTCTGGGCAACTCGCATTTTGTCCAGAGGAGTCTGCTTCTCCCAGCCAAGTACTGACAAAAGCAATTGCCATGCACAGTAATTTAAACAGATTAATACCCTTTGCTTTCCTTCCATAACACAAACTGTTTTAGCTATAGTAATAATAATACACTTTTAAGGTACTCCTTATATGTTGTTATTATTATAACAGATTATTCGTGTTTTGTTTGTAAGTGAATCTGTTAGCTATTTCAGTGTTTAAGACTAGCACAACAGCTCTCCAACATAAGAATTATCAGTTCTTATGCCAGAACCGAGCCAGCTGTACCCCCGACAGTTCAGTATAACTAGGTATTACAAATAATAGGGTCATTTCTTGCAACATAGGTACAGTATTTATAAACCCCAGTACAGCTAGTGTTCTGCAAGTGGGTCCTATAACCCCCATGATACTAAGATTTTGTACATGTAAATTACTCTATATTGATTAACTTGTAAATAAAGACCGATCTTTTTCTTGTCAGGTGAACGGGAAGTGGGGTAGTGTAAGGGTACAGGGTAAAGGTCGAGGAGCGGCGGTCCTCCAGCTTACCTCCAAATACCATGTTGCTGAGCCACACCATCTAGTATCACCACCTACGCCAGCCTTCCGCCTTCGCACAAGAGCCACCTGGCATGGGCATAATGGCTCAGCACTGACCTTTACCACGTGTGTGCGCTGGATGTTCAGAGAAGCAAGCGATTCCTCTGGTATATCTGTGTTGGAAGTGACAGTTCCTACAGGATATGGAGCATCTAAAGACGTACTGCAGCAATATGTTACATCTCGCACTGTGCCAAACCTCAGAAGGGTTGATTTTCAGCAAAGAAAAGTCACTTTTTTTTTTGAAAAGGTAAGAGCAGTAGCCTATGTAAGGTGTATTATGACAGTTTTCTGATATAAATTAGCTATGCAGTACTGTTGCATGAAGTATTAAATTGGTCATGTTAAATATTACAAAACTTATGAGGTACATAGTTTAAATATATGTATATCACAGTTTGAAAGACTACTACAAGTAAGAGCTCATGTTCCTAGGAATTAGAGCTACCTTCCACTTCCTTGGGTCAAACCTGATTGCATCCCAGTTCCCAGGCACTGTACGATTCTTGTACACAAAAAAACTCACACATAGAAGAGAGGAGCTTACGATGACTTTTCGGTCCGACTTTGTAAATGGTCCAAGTCAGACCGAAACGTCATTGTAAGCTCCTCTCTTCTATGTGCGGGTTTCTTTGTGTATCGTTCCAGTCACGGTATTGTGCCCTTTTTTTGTTATGATTCCCTATAATTATAATTCTCTGGTTATAAATATTGAAATAAAGAATACTTCAAATTAAATTTAAATAATTTATGGTGTTAATGATCTTTCAGCTGGTAGCAACAGATACGTGTGTGGAGTTCTCTGTAGAGCGATGGTTCCCAGTGGCCAACCTCACCAAGGTGTTACCAGTGAGAGTGTATGAGTACTATTCTCCAGGTTAGTAGCTATTAGAGTATTATGTCATTCTCAGAACACTAATACAGTACATGAAAACTTAATTGAGAAGTGTACCCTGGAACAGGCCTCTCATAACACATATTTACATAGTGCATTTTTATTTAAGTGCTAATCATATTTATATTGCAAAATTATTAGTACAGGGCTCAAACCTTTGCTTGACATGGCTAAAGTTGGGAAAAAATTGAAATTGGGTTGGTTCCCACAAGGAAAATTTCCCTATGGCCTGTAAAGTTGGTCTGAGGAGAGAGAGAGAGAGAACAAGGAATTTAAGCTATGATAAAATACTTCCCTGTCTGTGATAATTGAGATAATTTGTATAATGAAATGAGTAATGTGGTATATCAGTTGATATACAAACAACTCACACTAGTCACATAACCATCTTTAAATGCTTCTTTATCAACAAGCAGTAAAACAAGGAATTTAAGATACAAAAATCCCTCCTTATTCCTATTAGAGACTATAAAATTGTAGTAAAATATGATGGTGACAGTTGATCAGATAGATGACTCACAGCAGCCTGTGGCTCACTGAGCTACACAACCTTCTTTCTGAAACCTCTGCATCAACATGCAAGAGAGGAGGAATTTAATGAGAATTGTACATACATGACACTCTTCAGGTCACTTTTTCTACCTAGGCTGGAATATTGCTGCACACTGACAGCACCTTTCAAGGCAGGCGAAATTGCTGATCTAGAAAATGTATAGAGAACCTTCACAGCACGCATAACTGCGATAAACCACCTCAGTTACTGGGAGCGCTTGAAGTTTCTAAATTTGTACTTCCTAGAATGCAGGAAGGAAAGATGCATGATTATATACACCTGGAAAATCCTAGAGGGACTAGTACCAAACTTGCACACGAAAATCACTCCCTACGAAAGCAAAAAGACTCGGCAGACAGTGCAACATCCCCCCCATGAAAAGCAGGGGTGCCACTAGCCCGATAAGAGACAACACAGTAAGTGTCATGGGCCCCAAGACAGTTCAACTGCCTCTCAGCATACATCAGGGGGATTACCAATAGATCCCTGGCTGTGTCCAAGCAGGCACTGGACAGGCACCTAAAGTTGGATTATGTGCGGCCAGCAGTAACAGCCTGGTTGATCAGGCCCTGATCCACCATGAGGCTTGGTCACAGACTGGGCTGTGGGGGCATTCACCCCTGGAACTCTCTCCAGGTATACTCTAGGTATACAGGGGTGTGGTTGCATCATGTGGTCATATGCACGAAAGGCATCGCTGTGATAAACATGGAACTCTCGGCCATGGTTAGGTTAAGTAAGGTTTGTCAGGAAACAGGACAAGCGTTTTTTCACTTAGGTCTTAGTCAATATGATGACCCACAGCTGGAGCTTTTGGTCATCTGACAGAGGCCTTCCACTGGCTTACCGGTCCACCCCCTTTAAAAAATACTTCATATTACAACCATAATTTATTATTAACTCTCAGCTATCTACTGTTCAGTAGTATTATAACCATTACTCCTTCAATAGTAATATAGCCATCTACTCCTTCAATAGTAATATAGCCATCTACTCCTTCAATAGTAATATAGTCGTCAACTCCTCAGTAGTTATATAATTCAGCAATCAAGAGCAAGAATTTAAGGTAGGGTAATTATGATTATTACAGTATAATCAAAAAGAAGCACTAAACCACAAGGGCTATACAGCACTGAAGGTAGGGTAAAATTCTTTGTTACTTTGTAAGTATATTTTGTAATGCTAACAGTGTGTTATCACCAGTGATAACCAATGCTAACTCTGTTGCTCTTGGTATAGAGCACCATGCCCATTTTCTTTGGAAGGAAGAGAGGCAGACTACGTCAAACAACAGTGTCGAACATGAGCTTCCCACAAACCTTAGTAACAACATTTAGTAAGTTTGTATTTAGGATTTAGTAACATAACACATTTCTAGATCAACAAGCAATGGCACCTACAAAGTATCTGGTCGAAACCTTCAATAATTTTAACGAAACACACAAACTTGGGAGCTTTTTTTGTTTGGAAGTTCTGCACACCTAACCTTATTTTTCCCATATATTATGTGAGGTGTATGTGTGCTAAATTATCTATTTTTAAATTGGTTTTAGCATCAAAAGATGTTAGAAAACAAAGTGGACTTTGAAGAATATCTGTCATGGCAGGAACAATTCACAAGCAACCCACTCTGGAAATATTATTAAGTAGAACACTTGTGACTTGGCCTCAAAGCCCTTAGATCAGTCTCTCCAGAATGAAAAGAGAGACCTGATAATACAGTATACGAAGAAGATGCTTGAGGGCCTGGCCCCTAACCTGCATATTGCTATAACAACTTAATGGAGTGAAGGATATGGGAGAAAGTATGTAATAAACTCCATTAAAATGCACGAGTGCATTAATATTCTGTTCCAAGACTAACATATTACCAGCAAATATCAGAAATATTGCCAAAACAAAGGTAGAAATTTTCAGGAAGAAACTGAGTGGCTTTCTTGTACAAGTGCCAGATCAGCTGGTTTGTTTTGGCTATGTGGGCCTGTGGGTTGCTAGCTTAAACAGCCTGGCTGAGCAAACAGTTAACAGGGAAGCCTGGCTTTCCTGGTAACAGGGGTAGAGCAGCCTCGAAAACCAGTCACAGAAAACTCAGGTTGCGAAAAATTCAAGCGTACATTTTTTATGATTGTTTCAGGGGAGATGTACAAAGCACACTATTGTACAGTGTACCTTATATATTAAAAAATGCACTCTAAAGGGCTTCAAAAATATTTTTATAAAAATAGCTTCTGAATCTGATGTAAATATCATCTTGGATACATCTAATGCAACCTGCTCATCCAGGTTCCTTTCAGTATTTATACTCTTGCACTTATTGTCACCACTACATTTCTATCATCAGTTATAATTAATATTGTCAAAAAAATTAATAATCTCTTCACACAACCATTGCTATATTACTCTTATAGAGTTTTGGTGCTTACAGTTATCATTACATTTAATAATCTTGAGACAGCTGAATTATATTAAACTTGGCATTCGAACAATCTCACTTCAGCTACAGTATAATGTAGAATAGTTTTAGGATACAATTTTAGTCTGCCTGAGAAGCTCTTAATAACTAGGGGCTTTTTCAGCATGTTAGAAATAAATTTTTTTATTTTGTAACTGTTTAATTACATTTTGAAAAAAAAAAAAAAATTCAACCTTCTCAGCCTTTTATTCTTGAATCATAAAAAATTGAATTAAAATCACATATATTGTATCTTGCAGTGGAAACTTTGGCAAATGTCAAGATTCTGGTGGTGAATAAGATATGTAGCACCTGGGTATCTTTAAGAGACTTGCTCACAGGCAGCTTCATGTAATATGCATGAGAAAGGTGATTTGTATAGAAACCAGAGAAGCTGTGGTGCAAAAAATGCTTTGCTTTTTTCATTGATTGTAAATGCCTAAAATTCCTAATGTAACCAGTGTCACCAGACCCAATAATCATTCATGGCCATGCATTGTCATCGCTATGTTTCTGCCATGACTCACGGACATTTGGACGACAGACACTTTGCTGACACACATTTCACAAAAGGACTTTGACTGAATGGACATATAGCTGAACTGGCACTCATCACCTTGCCTAACCTAATTATCCGGTTTGTCTATTGTCCATTTGGCTAGATAGCTGTCAGCACAATGTTCATTTGACCAATTGTCCAACAGTCATCTGTACAGCCATGTTCAGAGATGACCACAGCAGCATAGTATGCATAGTACTACTTGTGTTTTATTGCAGGAACATGACTTATGTTTAGACCTGATAGTTTTACATCATGACCTCTTTGTTTTTGTGCCTTCATTATTTATAACCTTTAATTAATTTGTTAGTAATATCATGCTATTTTTCCTAACAGAGTTGTATGAGGTGGAATTGCTGGACATGTCATCAGTATCACTGGATATCTGCCAAGTGTGTGGGTCATACCAATGCCCAAACTGCCCAATTCTCTCCTACTATAGTAGCTATGCCCACCAGCATGGTCTACAAGTCCATGTCTATGTTCTTGCCTTCCTGGTGCTATTATCTGTATCCCACCAAGCTCCCAGTTGAAGCTCTGTGGAGATCTAGTCATCCCAGGAGCTGTGTTCACTCCTTACAAGAATAGGACTGGCTTCCCCTCAGAGCAGCTGTCATCTGGGAATGTGTAGACAGCATTTTTGAATGATTTTTACAAACTTCAGTGATGAGACAAGAGCATCACTGGTGGTTGTCTTGCCAGTAATGTGAAAAGTTTTACCAGCATGTTTGCTAATATAAACATTGTGAGTAACTCAAGATCAGCTTACTGATGAGCTGCAGGCAGAATTCTGCTAACTTTAGTACAGTATTACCACTGACTTGGCATATTTCATGAAAGATACTTTATAGTTTTTTGTTGGAAGTGGTGTAGAGTATGTTTGGAAGGCAATTTATGGTGAATTATAATACTGCTAGTCAAGTTTAACAATATATATAATTAAATAATTAAGATATGATAGATACAAAATACCTAAGAGGTATGCATGAACAGAAAAATGGATAAAATTTATTTCTGTTTCTTTTAATCATTTTATGTGGATGTCATAACACTAGTCAATGAAAAGAAAATTTAATTGAAATCAATCAAACCTTGTTTAACCAGTGATAATTAAAGTATGATCCATCACTTGGTGGATAAGCTTGTTAAGTCGTACAAAAATGAATGTTACACATGCACACAGTTGATATTTACCATGGGTAATTGTTTGTTCTTGTGTTGATTATTATAAGGGAATGTTTTAAAATGCATAGTAAAAGGGAATAATGTACTGTAGGTAGGATTATAATATTGCATTCATTTTGCAATTGATATTACAACTTTCCAGATACAAATGGATATGTAGCCTTTAAAGTTAGTGGCATTTGAAGTTATGGGAAATGGCATCCATGATCCTTTAAACCATTTTGTTTCCATTTTACTTTTAGACTAATTATGTATTATGAATAAACCATGCAAGGTATATTTTGGTAGTGGAGTTACGAGTGGATTGGCTGCAACTTCCTTCATCGTTTCTAAACCATCATCAAAAAGCAAGAATTATATATTTTACATTTTCATCCTTGTATAGATACCAGATGCCTCTTCTTCAGAGAATGATTCTTTGTACGAGCCGCAGTCCATTTTCTATGCCTGATTTGTGGTCTCGTTTTCGCTCAAGTCCCCCCTAAAGTGCCTCGATCATTCAAAGGAGGACTACATTATTTTAGTCACAACACAAGTCAGACTAATGTGTGCATGTATCATAAGTATTTTGTATGATTGTGTATGTATGTGCATGTAATGTTCAAATGAGGAACACATGGCCATGTAAATATTCTACATTAAGGCAGAAAGTTTGATTGTGTTGAGGGTGTACATAATGAGATAGAATTCATAGGATTCTTCTGTGTAGGGAATTCTGGTATAACATGACAGTTTGAGGCTTTAAGGTAAAGTTTGACTGCGGTGACATTGAATACATTCTGGTTAGTCACAAAGCCCTGTTATTATATTTTGTATTACATGATTCCTTAGCATTCAACACCCCTGTCAGAGATTATTGGTGTATAAAGTTTAATAGCTTAATTTGCCATAGAGATCTATATATAAATATTGTTGTAGTAAAGCTGTTCTGAAGGATTGTATGGACAGTCATTGACAAATTCATGTCTTATTGCTCTAGTCAGTTATTTCTTTATACATTGTGATTATTTTTTTTTTTTACAGATAATGTGTACTGACATTGACAGATTAAAGAAAACATAAATCCAGGTCATTGCTATCAGGCGACTACCACTTGTAGATCAACAGAGAGGATCTCTCTCTCGCCAAGTCTCTTATCTCAAGTGTAATGCTAGGAACACAGTTTAATTTGAATTCTTTAAGTCTTTAAGAAAAGCTTCAATACTGCACAAAAATATATTTCTAGAGATAATTTTGAAAAGCAAAGAGTTCAAATTTGTACATTTTTTTTTTTTTTAAATTTTTGGCATGAAACCTTGTGTGGTAGTGACTTTGGAAGACCATGTATGGTACCAAACTTTCCTCATAATGACAAACACAAATTGGACTTTAAAATGGTGCATAAATATTCTAATTTACTTTAAACTCAATGCTGACAATGCTTAGTTTATTTAGGTGTAAATTCTCACTTTCCTCAGGTTTTATTGCATCTTGCATGCTTGTTGATAATTATGCTGGTTAGAGAAACACAAAGCAGAGAAAAGCTGACAGTTATGATTTCATATACTTTTTTTTTTTTCCAGAATCCTGTGTGTATACTTAATTATGCCACCATCACCTCAGCACTATTAAGGGCAGGTTTTGCATGTGCAATTATTTATTCCATTAACTTAGCTTTTGATTGGCAAAGCAGTTTTCTATCTCTGCATTAGTATTCTTTATTGACAAATGAGTCTGATTAACTTTAGTAAAGAAAATGCTTCAGTTCTGTATTTACTAGTCAGCCATGGACAATAAAATGACAATAAAAGTGTTAAAAAATGTACAAAAGATTATTTTTAACCAGCCTTTCATATATGTGCCATGTTATTAATTATGTTCCATTAAATTTTCTAGTATACTCCCATTTCCCCCTCCCCGTGTGTACTACACTTTTACACGAGTTACCTGCTTCAGAAAGTTGTTACTATGGCTGCTGTATGGAAGAATTTTTGTAGTGTGATCTTGGGAGGCCCTGTTGGAATTATATGGCAAATATGCAAAAGTAATACCTATATAGCATCCTTGCCCTGGTATGGTCTCATTGCTTATTCATGACCCCAACAGGTTCATTGTACCTCTCCTCATTTTTGGGGCAAGCAGAGGCATCAGAAACTGGAGCAGAGATCTAGAAGAATCAGGTGAAGCATGAGTAGTAGACTACTTAGGTGGTGTTGGGGTCATGGGCAGAGTTTGTGTAAAAACACTGCACATGACAAAACTTTCATACAACTATGGCATAAGATTCACTTGGCCTCGGGAGCTTGAGAGATTCAACCCTCTTTCGTGCCTCACCATACAAAATGTTCAGCATTGCTTTAAACTTGTTGACCCTCTCAGTCTTTACCAGGGACATATCTAGTTACGGCTAGGGTGGGAGCCATCTCATTTAAAACAATATTTAGCCCGAGAGGCGCAGTTATGTTTCGAGCTCCACTGCCACACTTACTACGAAGACGATAAGCAGTGCTAGCCTTTTGCCCATGACCATATTTCTGGCAAGGGAAACACTTTAACCTCAACACAGAGGTAACCAGCACAAATAAAAGGAAGAGTAGCTTCACCAAAAATGATACAAACAAGGGGCATCTTCTGTACGTCACCTATGAGTTGTCAAAGTGTATACCAATCATATCCTAATCCTTCAACTCACTGACAATGTCGTCCTCTTCCTTGTCTACTAAATCTTGCAGTAGATAGTCTTCTGCAGAAGTTCATTATGAGGAAAGTTATGAAAATTTCAAGGGGTCCTTAACCTGGGAAAAAGTCGTAATGATCACCAGTAAATCACCATTCGTCAGTCTCTCCACCTATTCAACAGGGATAGTGTGGAGAGGTTAGCTGGGGCCTCCACTCCTGCCTTCAGAGGAAGGAGGAGGCTTATAGTCATTTACCTGGACCATAGGCTCCCTTCTCATGGGGAATTCCCCCTGGAACCTGCAAACAAAAAATCCCCAAAATGTGAAGTTATTTACCTTGGGGTGGCAACTTGCCAAAATATAAAGGATCACAAGTTCAGCCATCTATAAAAATTGCGTCAAGTCACAAAGGTTACTGAGTAGCTGAGCCAAACAATAGCTTTTTGACTGCCTTGAAAGCTGCCGGTAGAATTTTTGCCTTTGAAGTGCAGGCATTGTACTTCCCACCTCAAGGACTTGAGTCCAGCTAACCAGTTTCCATGAATCCTTTCACAAAATATGTATTGCCCTGCTCACACTCCAACAGCTCATCAGGTCCCAAAAACCATTCATCTCCATTCACCCCTATCTAACATGCTCACACATGCCTGCTGCATGTCCAATACCCATCCACACAAAACCCTTTTACCTCTTCCCTCTATCCTTTCCTAAAATGACCTCTACCCCTCCTCCCCTCTACTACAGATTTACACACCCTTCAAGTCATCCAATTTCGCTCCATCCCCTCTATATGACCAAACCACCTCAAAAAACCCTCTTCAACCCTTATAGGGGAATAAATTTACTGAGTATACCAGCTAAAATGTATGGTAGGAATATTATTGAAAGAATTAGAGGTAAGAGAGAGCAGTATTACAGATGAACAAGGAGGCTTTAGTGTGTGTAGGAACTCCACACCTCCTAATTTCCATACCACGAATTCTCTGCATAATATTTACATCACACATTGTCCTCCAGTCTCTTCTTTGCTGCAGCATTTACAACCCATGCTCCATACCCATATAAAAGTGTTGGTACCACTATACTCTTGTACATTCTCTTCTTTGCTTCCATGGATAACTGTCCCCACAGATACCTCAGTGCACCACTCACTTTTTCCTTCATCAGTTCTATGGTTAACCTCATCCTTCACAAACCCATCTACTGACAAGTCTACTCCCAAATATCTGAACACATTCACTTCTTCCATACTCCCTCCCTCCAATGTGATATCCAATTTTTCTTTACCCAACTCACTTGATACCCTCACCATCTTACATTTATCTATGTTCACTTTTAACTTTCTTCCTTTACACACCCTCCCAAACTCGTCCACTGACCTTTGCAACTTCTCTTTAGAATCTCCCAAAAGCACAGTTTCATCAGCAAAAGTAACTGTCAACTCCCATTTTGCATTTGATTCTTCATAGATTTAATTCCACCCCTCTCCCTAGCACCATCTATAAATATGTTAAACAACCATAGTAACATTACACATCCCTGTCTAAGGCCTAATTTTACTGGAAAATAATTGGTCTCTCCTACACACCCTAACCTGAGCCTCACTATCTTCATAAAAACTCTTCACAGCATTTAGTAACTTACTACCTGTACCATACACTTGCAATATCTGCCACATTGCTCCCCTATCCACCCTATCATATGCTTTTTATAAATCCATAAATGCAATGGTGGATGAATTTGGTATGGTATGCAAAAGAAGAAAATTAAAAGTGAATACAGGAAAGAGTAAGGTTATGAGGATAACAAAAAGATTAGGTGATGAAAGATTGGATATCAGATTGGAGGGAGAGAGTATGGAGGAGGTGAATGTATTCAGATATTTGGGAGTGGACGTGTCAGCGGATGGGTCTATGAAAGATGAGGCGAATCATAGAATTGATGAGGGGAAAAGGGTGAGTGGTGCACTTAGGAGTCTGTGGAGACAAAGAACTTTGTCCTTGGAGGCAAAGAGGGGAATGTATGAGAGTATAGTTTTACCAATGCTCTTATATGGGTGTGAAGCATGGGTGATGAATGTTGCAGTGAGGAGAAGGCTGGAGGCAGTGGGGATGTCATGTCTGAGGGCAATGTGTGGTGTGAATATAATGCAGAGAATTCGTAATTTGGAAGTTAGGAGGAGGTGCGGGATTACCAAAACTGTTGTCCAGAGGGCTGAGGAAGGGTTGTTGAGGTGGTTCGGACATGTAGAGAGAATGGAGCGAAACAGAATGACTTCAAGAGTGTATCAGTCTGTAGTGGAAGGAAGGCGGGGTAGGGGTCGGCCTAGGAAAGGTTGGAGGGAGGGTGTAAAGGAGGTTTTGTGTGCGAGGGGCTTGGACTTCCAGCGGGCATGCGTGAGCATGTTTGAATAGGAGGAATGGAGACAAATGGTTTTTAATACTTGAGTGCTGTTGGAGTGTGAGAAAAGTAAACATTTATTGACGCGATTCAGGGAAACGGCAGGCGGACTCGAGTCTGGAGATGGAAGTACAGTGCTGCACTCTGAAGGAGGGGTGTTAATGTTACAGTTTAAAAACTGTAGTGTAAAGCACCCTTCTGGCAAGACAGTGGGAGTGAACAGGGCGGATTAGAGTCAAGACAACCAAAAACCCATTTACCAACCTGCCATTATAATATCTTGTTAGATAATCATGCATTTTTAAGGAATAAACTTCGTGTGCAAGTTCGGTACTAGTCCCTCTAGGATTTTCCAGGTGTATATAATCATGTATCTCTCCCTCTGTATTTCCCTGGAAGCAGGAGGGAGAGATGACACGATATATACTCCTGGAAAATCTAGAGGGACAGTACCGAATTGCTCACGAAATATACTCGCTACGAAAGCAAAAGACTTGGCAGACGATTGCCCATCCCCCAATGAAAAAGCAGGGGTGTCACTCAGCACGTTAGGAGACCATACAATAAGGTCGAGGGGCCCGAGAACTGTTCAACTGCACTCCCAGCGCACATAAGGGGGATTACCAACAGACCCCTGGGCAGTCTTCAAGCTGGCAACTGACAAGCACTTAAAGCAGTTCCTGATTCAGCCGGGCTGTGGTCGTACGTGGTTTTGCGTGCGCCAGCAGCAACAGCCTGGTGATCAGGCGCTGATTCCACCAGGAGGCTGGTCACAGACCGGGCAGCCGGGCGTTGAACCCGAAACTCTCATCCATGTGCACTCCATCGCACCCCATCGAATATCCATCATCCTACAGTCAACCCTATGCTAAATTATCACCCAAACCCTTTTCCGACATCATTAACCTATTATATTAGCATAACCACTACTGCCACTATTATTCCCTTTATAAATCAATGACATTATTGTTATCCCATTGCATCATGCATAAGACTATCAAATCATATAAACTCAAGAAAGTAAAGAATTTTTTGTATTCACTGCCACTTCTTAAATAAACTTTTTCTGAGTTCATATTGGCAAAATTCATCAATTATATTCTGAAATCAATATTTTCTTGTTAGATCAGGACTCAATGGTCAACAATGGCTAGGTTACACAATTTGTCTTGGCTCATTGTTGATTGGAGCTGGTTTTTCACTCTTTTCAAACAGAAATGAACGTTCTCCTTCACTAGTTAGTAGCTGGAAGTGTTAGGTATAAGCGATACAATATGTCAACATTTAGGGAAGGTTTCTGTGATACCTGCTTTCTTAAATGTTTCCATAAGTAGATGAGGGCGCACATTTTTTCAGGGTGGAGCTTTAATTGAATCATATTACCCAGATAAAATGAACTATTTCGTCTAACAAATGTGTCCTGAACATCTGCTGATAGGTGTTGTGCAAACTTTGAGTGCAGCTTTAATCTCAATTCTGCATCTGGCATAGTAGTAATTTTGAACAGAACATCCAAGCAGGTCATTGAAGTCTGGTTAGATTTTTTTCACCAATTCTGTAATCAGTTTGAATCCAGAATGACGAAGTTGTTAGATGTCTTAATACTGCCTTTGTAGCAACAACAATTTCATTGTTTGGCTCTTCAAAAATTGCGTTTCCTCTTCACTTGACCGCTGATGATCAGCCAGGTAACTGCTAGTCTTTCACCAGCAGTTTAGCTTTCTCTTTTCAAACATTTCAATAGCCATCATTGCGAAGTGAGCTTACATATTCCACTAGCCTGCATTGAGGTTAGCACAAAGTAGCATTTCTAATTTCAGCTTTCTGAAGTGTATTG